TTCAAAGTATGGCCTGATGATTCTCTGGATTTCTTCTGTGTCCACTGTTATGTGCCCTTTTTCATTACTGATTTTGTTAATTTGCATGTTTACACTTTGCCATTTCATAAGCTTGGATAATGGTTTGTATGTCTTGTTGATTTTCTCAAAGAACCAACCCCAACAGAAACCAGGCTACCCTTCTAAACCACAGAGAACCCCAGCCCAGATCATAAGCCAACCACATCATATATCACCTGAACACCAGCACAAAACTTGGGCAGCACCCCCTTGCTTGGCCAGAGGCTATCCAGGCCATCAGAAATCCGACCCCCAACTTGGGCAGAGACCCTCTACTGAACACAGATTACTCATGCTAGAATATCAGAGAGGAAACAGAAACCAAAGAAGAAAATAGTCATTTAACAAAGACAAACTCATAAATCACTTCCTGGACCTATAATCATCCAAATTCAGATGGCTAAACATCAGCATAAGAACACAGTCAACAACAGACAGGTAATTTCTCACCACCGTCCATCACACTGCAGTAAGCCCTGAATACCCAACACAGCTGAAGAACACAAAAATGACATTAAGACAAACTTTATGAAGATAATAGAGGTCCTTTAGTAGGAAATGAATAAATCCCTTAAAGAAATTGAGGAAAAGGCAATAAAAAATTTGAGGGAATCAATAAATTCCTTAAAGAATGTCAAGAAAGTCAAGTCCAGAAGGGAAACAAACATTGAAGGAAATAAAACTCTTTAAGACCTAAAGATGGAAATAGAAGCAATAAAGAAAACCTAATCTTAGGGAAATTGGGAAATGCAAAACAGAGGTAAGTGACCAGGTTTTGCTCAGAGCACCAGAAGCCAGGCCAGAAACAGGCCCACACTTACCTGTCCTGTCCTGTGGGTGGAGAATGGGACTTGGATGCTGGTAGTCTTTGGGTGGGCTGACTCCTGACAGGATAGGATGCACATTGCACAGTCCCCAGGTTTCCAGTGGTTCTGCTCAGAGTACCAGAAGGCAGCCTGTGTATATTAAGTTTTTCTCTGGTTATTTATTGTTTTTGTAACTGGAGTTAGTTGGTAGTGGTTTGTGAATGCAGTTGACAAAGACCAGCCATGTGTATAAACATTTGTTGGTGCACAACTACTTCTCATAACATACATTTTTCTCTGTGTGTTAGTATTCAGTGTTAAAACTTTGCCTATGGATGTAACACTCAGCATGGCAGTAAGGAAATATGTATAGTTTTATAAGGAATAGCAATGAAAGAAAATGGAAGTGTGCCTCAGTGGCAGGATATATGCTTTTGTATATATGTAAACTTTACTGGAATCCTCAGTATACATATATAAGATAGAGTGATGGATAAATAGAATATAGGTAGGTAGGTGTATAGATAGATAGATAGCTATGGTTACCTACTGGATTTGTTATCTCTCTGTCACTGTGACCAAGTATCAGACAGACACAAATTGAGACTGAAGTACTTGAATCCAAAGATTGTAGTTTCAAAGGATTTTGTTAATGGTTACTTGGCAAAACATTGGTATAACATCCTGAGAAAAGACAATGACTCTTATATCAAAAGCAAATTCAGCAAGTATATAAATGCGTAATGACAACGAAGAGCGTATCCTAGCAAGAAAGCACTCAGCTAGACTAGGGAGTTGCCTTTATTGCCTACACTATTTGTTCAACTATTGTGGACTTTGATTACTATCCTGCATATGGGCCAAGAGGATAATTTCGCAGAATCACACAAGTTCTGGCTGCAAATTATGAGTTAATAAAAAGACAATAATCAAATTAGTTTCCACACAGTAACTTTCTACTTAGGGTGTTTCAAAGCAGCATTTGAAATTATGTTTGTTTGCTTAAGTGAAACTGAATCTTTAAATAAACAACGTTGAATAGTGTTGCTTTTGTTGTAGACTGCAAGTGTGAAACAAAAATAAGTAACCATACTTAAGGAAAGAGTGAACTCTTTTTGTCCAAAGACTACATTTAATTTACTTATACCCTATATCTTTTTTTTTCTTTTTTTGGTTTTTCAAGACAGGGTTTCTCTGTATTGTTTTGGAGGCTGGCCTCGAACTCACAGACATCCACCTGCTTCTGCCGCTGGAGTGCTGGGATTAAAGGCATGTGCCATCACTGCCCGGCCCCTATATCATTTTTAAATCTCCATTGTGGGTTTCGAAGACAGAAAGGAGTCTCATTTATATTTGATATATTTACAATAAGATAAATTATGTTATTGCAATAATACAAACACTTGTTTTAGAAATGTGAGCTCGATTTATGTCTCATTAATGCATTTCTAACTGGTGTAATAACACAATTATTTTTGAAAATTAATAATTGTCTCACATTATAAATAGACATCTTTATGAATTGCCTTTTATATAACTCAGTTGACACTTTTAGAAAATTTATACTCTAAAAATGTGTGTGATAATTTGAATTCTCAAAAAAAAGTTTTAAAGACTTTATTCTAGTCAAAAAAAACTTAAGAAATTCTGAAAGAAATCTAATAAATAAAGTTTTCTTAAATTGAGTTAATTCATTTGGTCATATTTTTATACTGGAAGCATCATCAGCATTAACTCCAAAACACATTTGCAGCTTCAGACATGTGAACCTCACATATATATATATATATGTGTCTATCTATATATAAACATATATAGATAGATATGTGTGTATGTGTATATGTGTGTGTATAAAGCATATGCATAAATAAAGAAAAATAATGTATTTTTCAAGCATTTATGTATGTGTTTTCAAACCCAGATTTTGTGCCCACAGTAAGGAAATATTTGACTTTTCTAAATGAGGTTCCTATTTATAGAGATCTGCTATGACCTTTTGCCTTTGCCTGGGATGTTCATCTGGAAAAGAGCAGGACAGCGACGCTAGGCATTCCCACAAGAGGCCTCCTGGGCCACTCATGCACACTGATTACACTCCGTGGTTGCAGTGAGGAACAGTGTTTTAGGCCCCATGCTTCATAGGTGATAACATTTCTGAGGTTCAGGTTATGCCCTCACAGTTCCTATTTGTTTAAAAAGCTATTTGTCCTTTCCTCCTAAACTACTAATATCTTTGTTTCCTTCTCTAAAATGACACTGTGGTTTCTCAATATCCTACATAAATTTGAATAATCCCAGGAGCCTGATTTTAAGTTGGCTACCACCCCTCATACTGCAGCTAAGGTCGGTCACTTTGCTCACTCCAGATAAATCCTGAGTCCTTCTCACCAGTCTCCTCTGACTCAGCTGTAAACTTACACTTTAGACAGCTGATTGGAGTAGACTTCGACTTTGCCAGACTCTACTTCCCATGCTAAAATCGTGTTGAAGGCAACAGATTTGACATAAGAAGCACTGAGTTAACTGACGTGTTGCAATACCTGATACAGCGATAATGATAAAACACGGTTGATATCAAGGTTAAAAGCAATTTTCCAAAACAAGATGACCCCTTCTACGTCACTAATGGGTCCCAGCATCGACCAGTGCGCACCCACCCTCATGCTTTTGTTCTAACGGCTCTGAGCCCTGCTATTTCCTGTTCAGGAAGGAAACGAGGCTCAGAGTTCACAGCCGAGAGGCAAAGGAGCTCGATGCTCTCCTGCATGGTTGCATCCCTCCTGCCCTTAACAGTAGCGATGACTGCCTCAAGTAGGAAGTGTGTTAACCTGGTGTGCTTCACATACAGTGGCTTCTATCTTCAGACTGAGAGGTAGATATTGATCTCTTTTCCCTGTGCACCCGTGCAGGCAGCGACCTGTTTACTGGACTCTACAGTGACTACTGGGCCAGAGACCCTGCAATATTCCGCAGTCTGGGAGAGCTAGGCCATATTCACAGGGGGCATGATGACAAGCAGCTGCTTATAGGTAGAAATCAGAAGACAAAATCGTGACATTCTGAGTGGAAAACAAGCCTGCAGTCCATGGCTAAGTCTGCCATTTTGATAATGAAAATACAGACAGAAAATAGTCTTTATAACTATTGCATTCTTGAGTCCAAAATACATATGCTATTTATGTATATATATATAATAGTTTACCTTAATTACACAATAAGTTTACTCATGGCAGTTGTTTGATATCAAGAGCTAAAAGAAATGAGCAAATTGAACACATGAAAAATACGGAATCGTAACTGGCACTTGGTGCTGCAATCACTGTGTGCCTGGCTTGCTCAATAGCATCATGTTGTACATTAGGAGGGTCACTAGTGGCTCCCTGAGCAGAATTCTATATACTGTATATATGCAGTTATACTCATACATACAATCAGTACGTTTATGTTTTCTCACATATTGGTATATCTGGGAGGGAAAATACCAGGTTATAGTGATCATTTTCATCACTTACAGCATTTGATTAGGCTTCAGCGTGCAGACGTATCCCCTTTAAAATGCCTGGTACTGTATCAATCAAAAGACACCTACTCAGATTCTTTAGTCTCTAAACACAAAAGGCGCAATTTCTTACTTTAAAAATAAGTGAGCTTCAGTGAGGTTTATTGATAGATTCTCTATGAATTAAAAATGAATAATGATATAATTTCAAGCTATAATATGGAACTTGCATGTACATTCATTTTATATAAATTGAGAAGGACTTCCTAGAAATTGATTTCATAATTCCTCTGGCTTGTATCTTCAGTAAATGCATTTGATTTGCAGCATGCACTGTTAAATTTGTTTTATACATCCGTGACTCTTATATTTTATATTCAGAATACATTTTTAAAATGTCCATTGATTTGGACATAAGATGCGGATAGCCATCTGGTGTTCCATAATTCTCTAAAACTTCCAGGATGCTTTGTATTTTCTCACACACTGATGAGACATACTATCTGGTGATGAACCATTTATCATGGTGACTCTATTATTACACCATTACATCTATCTGTTTTTACTTTTCCACATGTTTTGTCTGTGGAACCACAATTTGTAGGTTCGCATATGTTTCCTGATAATGAAGACCCAGATGACAACAGAATGTGTTTCTTTTCTACTGAGAAGACATTGGAAGCAGAGAACAATTCCCACACAATCTATACTGAGTGAGGTCGCTGTCCTTGGTGAGGATGGTGTGACTAGGTAATTACACTTTCTTATGTCACAGTGTATACCAGGCTCGTTGTATTGTTTTACACTTATTTTTATTGGTTGATTTCAAAGTTTCATATAGCATGCTTTGATCATATTCGCCTCCACTCCCTCACCTCATCCATAATCGATACATACCTCTTCCCTACATGTCCCACATAAATCGTGTTCTCTAGTAGGCTTCTACTTTAAATATTTTGTAGTAGTCCATTGACTTTCTTAACTTGGTACTTACTAAAGCTTCCTGTGTTATGTCCATAACTTCACTATTAATGAAAGATTCACTGTAAAAGAGACTTATCTTAGATAAGTTTTCTCATTTTCAATGTGTGTTAGGAAATAGCCTACAATTAGCATTTCCTTACAAATAGAAGTTTGTTCTATTTTTAAAATATTATATATATTTGTTCATTTTTATATGTACATATATGTGTGTATGTTACTTCTCATACATGTTTGTGGATGTTAGAAATATGTTCTCTTTTGCCATCATGTCGGTCCTGTGGATTGAACTCAGATCCTCTGGCTTTGTTGCAGGTGACTTAACCTTCTGAGCCCTCACACTGTCCTGATTCCATAGTATTTATAAATTTAATTTAACAATTTCATATTAGGTTCACAATCTGTTTGGGGTTATATATATTTGGGTCTGAGAAATTCAGTTGATCAATTCTGTAGTAAAAGAACAAAACAACAAAAGAGCAAAACCAGAAAGATACAGTTGCTTCGGCATTTAGGGAGAAATTTAATAATACTAACACATATTATATAAGGATATACACATATGCAGCTGAGAATGACCTTTAACTCGTAAGTCTAAGGATTATAGGCATTAGCCTCCTTCATATGCCTTGCTTCATATGCTTTCTTTGCCAAGGGAAGGCATGATCCACCCAAGTTCTTGAGACAGTTATGCAATATCTGAACAAATAATAAGTGAAGTCACTTCGTCATAATGCCAGTGCTTATTCTATGAGAGACAACCACATCAATATGTCTAATGGACCAGAAAATATACTGATAGTGCTTGAAGTAAGCCTGTGCTGCCATTAGCCATGTGACTTGCTAGAGACTCATACAGATGAGGTAGCTAAAGAGCAGTTTACCACACCACTAACTACACCCACTTTAGGCATGACTAAAGATGTATAGGACGGACGTAAACGTATATGGACGTAGCGTGAACTACGTCACTAGCCAGGCCACTTTGGCATGGCTAGGCGTACAGGAAGTATAAGACTGAACAATGGAAGTCTTACTCTCTTTCTGGCTTTGGCTTCAGTTCGAGGAAAACTACTGGGCTCATCTGGGTTACTTGTTTAGTCTCTTATGATAGCTTCTACAATAAATACTCAGTGTCTGCTCTCAGGAGCATGTGAAACTTACAACATTAAAGAATTAATCATAAGTGCTACGCCAGGGTGGTGGTGGCACACGCCTTTATATCCCAGCACTCGGGAGGCAGAGGCAGGCATATCTCTGTGAGGCTTCTGCAGCGCCAGGACTGGACACGGTAGCCTCCAAAATAATATCAGAGAAACTCCTTTCTACATGTGAAACCAAAAAATTTTAAAAATCATAAGAAAATACTACACTGATAAGCCAATGCAAGGGAGCAGTGAGAGGGAATTATTTGTAATATTACCTGAAGATTTTGTTTAACATTCACACACACACACACACACACACACACACACACACACACACACACACACAGAGAGAGAGAGAGAGAGAGAGAGAGAGAGAGAGAGATAAATCAAAAACAATCTTCCCATTTCACCATATTAAACCTTGCTTTGTAAATGTTCTTTAAGCATTGCATTTGTCCATTTTGTTTTTCCCAGAATGACGTGGGAGACAGAGAATACTAGTGAATAAGTGGAGCACGTTCCTTAAAGCAAGGCTGGTTTTCTCTGTACCGGGAGTGAATGGAATCGACACATATTTTGATGAGCTAGGTAACTATTGTTGGAGGATCTACATTTCACTCTTCTATGTGGGCACATTTTCCTCTACAACTATCACTCTCTCGGGCATAGGATGAAAAATGTCTTCTGCAAGTGTTTGACCTCTACAGACCAAAAGCAAGTTTCCATCTCTTCACTTTGATCCAGTCAGCTCGTAGGGCAGAAGAGTTGACAGAGACTCATCTCACTCCCATAGAGGATCCTGCTGGGTTCTTCTCTGTCACTCAGCACAAGTCCCCACCCAGAGCAAAGCAATGACTCAGCCTTCTGTCCTGGTCACAGCTGTGGAACTGAAACTGGGTCTTAAAATGCATAGTTCTGAACCATTTTATGTAACTGTGGTTTCTTTGCATGCAGAGAAGCTTAAAACGCTATGGAGGAAGTGGATTTCATTCTTTCAGAGGATGTGTTTCTGCTGCCTGCCAGAGACCCTAAGAATCCAGTGATATTGGGACTGTTTAACACTACCAGGTGAGAAGTTGATAGTCAACAAAACACTACGAAAGAAAAATTGTGTCACTGCAGCAGCTGTCATGGTGCACATGTCTCTGACACTGACCCCATCATCACTCCCATCCTCTGTGCTTTGTAAGTGTCCCACTTCCCTTGATTTCTCCTGACTGCCACCGGCCTTATTCGTCAAAGCCGAAATCCCAGTCTAGGCCTTATTGTTTAGTTCATATCATCCCTCATCCTCTTGAAACTGCTCACTCCTCCAATCTCTTTAACTACTTATATATAAGCACTTGGCATATTTTATGGTCAGGTTATAAGATAGCACTTCTCTACTATAAAGTCTAGGGTAATTCTTTTATTTATTTTCCAGATTAAAATCTATAATGCAGTCTTTCAAAGAGTTCTAGTAACTGTTCAGCACTAGTTTTGGGGTACTTTTTCTCTGCCTTCTCCAATGGCTATAATACCTCAACAGGTCTCAGCATTTACATTGTCAGTTCTTCTTAGCATTGGGTCCCCTCCTTTATTCACTATTACTGCTGGACATGACTTTCCCTTCCAGCATAGGTTTAGACAAGTTTTTTGTCACTTACCACCCATGTCCAAGAAATGTTCCCAAGCCCTTAGTCAGGGACAAGTCCACACACTTTGTTCCTATGTCATCCTCCTATGCAGATTCACACTGGACATGCACTTGTCATCTGTGAAAGGTGGTGCTCACGTTTAAAGCATAGATATAGCTAGTTCTCCCTTTGCATTTTCCATTGTATATATCTATGGAAGAGTACTACAAAGTAATATTTTACATGTATTGATATGTGAAATAAGAAATATCCCTAGAATTGATTTGAATTGAAAGTTCGTATACATAATTTCCCAAGTAGCTTTCAAAAGGAAAACAATAGCCCTAAGAATACAGAAGGTAATGTCTCAGCATTTCAACAGAGATAGATTGATGTTACAGGTTTTCATCATCAGTATGTTCTCATTAACTTGCAATATGACCTTGTAGCTTGTGCTTATTAACGTCTTCCCACAGTCTTGTTAAGTTTTCAGCAGGTTATTTTTATTGATCACTTTGAATTAAAGCACCTAACAGCTCTTTGAATGATATCTTGTTTGAACCAGATCTTTTCTTCCTCAGAATAATATGGGAACAGTTATTTCTATTATTTATACTTTGATGTAAATTTAAAAAGTTAATATATATTTGTTTTCACCACAGTATACACAAACACCCTGTTTTACTTCATTTTCTCATGCCAGCATATGACTTTTTGCATCACGTGATAATTATTTAAATGATAACTTGACTTATGGGATAATGTGTCATATTGTCTATGAATTTGTCTTTAAAATGATCAGTTCAAAAGCTAATCTCCTAATGATAGCATATTGGATCATTCAGAGGAATCAAAGGTATGATTCCCTTCCATGACTTCAACTTTGTTCAGTTTCTGTATGAATCTGAGAGGAGAAGAGAGTTCCCAGCTGTACCTGCCATGGAGCTTGATATTTGTAGAACGGTGATCAGAGGTTTACTGCCACTTCAGCTGAGACTGTCTAGTTTTGTCCAGTATCACAGGTGTTTCCAATTGCTTCAAGGTGTGTTATAAAAAATGTGCAAATTGATGTCCTAAGACAGTCACATGACTGTTCTACAGCTGTCCCGGAGTCCAGGAAATACGTTTAAACAAAGTTTACATATTTATTGAGCTCCTTACAAACACCATTTATTTCAATGCACATAATGTGGAGACTATGAAATGGCACATTTCTTTCAAATGATGGTTCTGAATTAAGGTACTATAACAATATCTTTTTACTAAATGTGATTACAGATGTCCCCAATAACATACTGTACAATTTCTGTATCCTCTGATAGGATATCTTAACATTTTTAAAATCATTTTGACAGCTGCTACGTATGAGGATCAAATATCTCAATTTTTACATAATCCTTACATCAATGAAGAACTCAGTGATATTCAAGAAGAGCTTAAGCAACGTTCTAATATTTAAAAAACACCATGCTAAAAAGTGGGACAAAAGTACCAGGAAATCTAGGGAGATGCAAATAGAATTTGGAGTGAATCAACAGTGTAGTTATTAGGGGACCATTAGTTTCTTTCAAGACGCACTGACATAGAACTCTTCCCTTAAAATGACCAATTCAAATGGCTAATAATCTTCAAAGGATGGGAAAAGGGGACCTGGCAAGATGGCTTATCAGATAAAGGAACTTGCTGCCAAGGTGACAATCTGAGCATGGTCTTCAGAACCACGTAGTGAAAGAAAGAACTGACTCTTGCAAGATGTCGTCTGACACTGCCTATGCTCTGTAGCTCTGACTTTCTAAAAAAAAATTATAAATGAATAAATACTTACTGAAAACATTTATACATACAAAAACACAGCATAGGACTTAACAATTACAAAGGGAAGCCATACAATTCCATCCTAATGCCAATTACAAGTTGAGAATATAGGAAATGAATGAATGGAAAGTCTTTCAATTTTAATACTTAAAATATTGTAGTAATTAATATTTCTAGGATATCTATGCTGTAAGGAACTACTTTTTACACAAGTTTTAATCTACCATATATACATTGGTGTATTTGATCAAGTAAACTCTCAAATATATATAGATTTATAATTTTTATTTTTCAGCAATATATTTAGAGGCCATGCTTTATGTGTCTATCACATGTCAAATATCTGAGGAACCTTTAATGGTCCATATGCACATGAAGAACGTCCTGCATATCACTGGTCACTCTATGAACGAAAAGTTCTGTAAGTGTAATCATTTGACATGCTCTTCTTATGTTTGAAGTCTTTCTTTCACATGCTCTATCTTACTTTGCAGCTAAAGTATTTAAAACTTTTATATCTATAAGAATGTTCCAACAGTAAAGAAAGAACACTGTCAAATTGAATTTTATGCTAGTTATTTAATGCAAAGGATGTAAGTGTGGATGGACCCATCTTAGCAGCTTTATAAAGTGTGGCCTCGCAGATAGTTCAGACAAGTAGCTCTAACTAACTTTCCATTTTAGGGGTACTTGTGAGCATATGAATATTTAATAAAATAGGCATAGAATAGTTTTCTTCCAGCATTGTGAGGAGAATCATAATCACGTGTCAGTTTTAAATAACAATATCCTGTCCCGTTTTAGTATTTTAATACTGTGTTCAATACTGTGTTCCTCAGGACAGATTTTTTTTCTCTCATCTTTTTCCATTAGCAGAGTAAAGGAAATTCTATCATTTGCCTCTGAAACGTTACTCCCAAACTCTTACCTAACTCACTATATCAACTTCTAAGCTTTTGATTGGGACATGTCTAAAACTAACTATTATGAAGATGATGATGTAGGTTTAGAACATGGGTCTCATATGCAACTAGTTTGGCAAATGTCGCATGCACTGTTGTATGTTTTATGAGAGTCATAGTGTGCAAACATTTTATTTGTCATGGAGGTCCATATCTTCACTTTACCAATTATCTGGTGAGATGGTGAGCCTACATTGATTATCACACAGTCACAGAGAAACCATTTTTGTAGAGCCAAATTTCCAAACCTCACCTCCAATAGCAAGTGTATGGCTCTCACTGACTCAAAAGTATTACTTACAGTAAGTTATACAGTATATATTATTTAACGATTGCTTGGAATTGCTATTTAAATGTGAAAATTCACTCCTGTGGCTTAACTGAAGATGCTTCTTGAAATCACATTCCTTAGAGGAGGTCGGAGGAAGTGAATCATTGTTGAATTCTTTCCAAGGTTGTCCAAAATGGCTCCAATAATGTGTTGTGCAAGTCCACTCAAGTGCACAATTCATGCAAATTTAGGCATACAGACAGATTTTAAAACATAAAGAATAATGAATTTCCACTGTACAGAACTTGGCTACTTAACCACTGCGTTTGTAACTTATATTAGAAAAAAATCCAGATATTGTTACAAATGATGCTGATTCTGGGGGACACATGTCAGAGTGGGGAGCAGTTGCTGGGAAGCAAAGATCAGTGTGAGTGTTCTGAGCAGTGTGTGCCAGGGTGGTCTGCAGGTGTACATTTTAGCATTAGTGTCTTCAGAGTCGCCACCTGTAATAGCAAGGAGCTAGTTTTTCATTTTGTCAGTTTCATATTCCAATGAAATAATACACATTCATGCAAATTATATTAGGACAACACAAAGAACCCTGTTGTCTCCTTAGGGATGATGTAATTTGAATAACTATCCTATAATGCTAGAATTATTCATCAAGAAAGCAGAAACATCACCATTGAACACGATGTTTTCAATAGTGAGAAACCTAATTTATATAATTATGGCCAAGTTAATTATGTATTTTGAGGGAAAGTCTCACTTTGTAAATCAGGCTCCTTTAGACTGGGATCCTCCACCCCTCACCTTTCCAGTGCTCACACATTCCTCATGAGGCTGTGATCCTAAAGTAGGGATTGACTACTAACAGACATGGTTTGTTCTGATGAATGTTAGATCCTTCCTTATTTCCTCTTTTCTTCTTTCTATTTTTTTCTTTCCTTTCCTTTCTTACTTTCTTTTTTTTGATGTGCAACAGATTGAATCCAGAATTCATGTATGCTAGGCAAGCACTTTACCATTAATCTGTGACAATAGACAATGCAGATTTTTCAGTTTGAAGTTTTATTCAAATAGGATACAAAAGTCAAAGCCATAGAAAATATTTAGAGCATTAATATTGATGCAATTATTTGCAGTCCCCTAATAGTTCTTTTTTGTACATATTTTCAGTTTTCTGGTTTTCAGATATTCTCTGTGTATTTTCAATGTTGGATTTTAAATTTAATTAGTTTTCTTTTGAAATTTTTAGTGCTGGGTCCATTTCAACAACAAAAGATTTGAAGCTACTATATACTACTTAATGCACTTTTCATTGCTTAACCTATTTGACTTTTCTAATTATACTTTCTGTTGGCTATATGGTTGCCCTTCAGGTTCAAGAGAGAAAGAGTGAACTAACCCACTTACATTCTAGTGTGCCCACAAGGTGAATGGAGGGAGGTATGGAACTACCAAAGTCTACACTGACAATGCCATTCGATAATGGGTTTTCTCATAAGATTTTCTAGGTACAGGCTCTAATGCCATATTTTGTCATTACGCAAAATCACTGCTTCCAGATGAATAAATCAACTTAAATTTTTTCTGTTGTCTGATGTCATCATGCAGACTTGTGTGTTTAATTTCCAAAATGGAACAATTTTTATTTCTTTGTAGTTAGTAGAAAATAAAGGTGATTGCTATTATGTTCATTATAATCTAGTTTTATTAACAGAAACATAGGATTTGATAATGTTTGATAAATTGTTCATATCTCTTAGAAGTTCATGGATTAATACTTCTTAAAGTCTGATATGTTTTAAGAATGAATATTTTATAACTATCAAGTTATGTGTGTGTGTAGTAGCATCCCACCTTACCAGCTAATTTGTGTTGCTGTCCACACCATAGAGAACATACATACATCTTTCATACATACATCTTTCAGACCTCCTTCTCCCTAGGTCATGATTAGTTTGTTGGGATAAATCATCCTGAACTGAAATCTGGAGCAGTGCAGCAGGTATAGCTAACCATTGAGTGTACGAGGATCTAAAATCTGAACAGATTTGAATAAATTCACCTATGTTGCCTTTCTTTCTATAAGGTCTTAAAACACTTTCTGACAGTCTGCATTAATCAGCATTTCAAACACTTGACTGGCCAAGGCAGCAGTTCCCCAGGCTGTAGACTTGTAGGCTTGGCCTGGCCTCACCTTTGCCCTCTGGGCCAGGGCCGGCCCACTTCAGGTCATCTGTAGCTGCACCTGCTTGAAAAGTCAAATGCCACCATTGCAGCAACTCTGAGTTCTTGGTGCGTGCAGGTCCTGCTGACATAGAATGTATGTGGGCCTACACCTTTGCTTCCCCAAGCCCCAGCACAGCTATGAGACAGCTCCAGCAGTGATTTCTGAGAGGGGGAAGGATCCTTACAAAATTTACAAATTCTAAATTTCTGTAATTGCTTCTGCTTTATCACAGTCCTCCTGGCTATTAAAATATACCCAAGTAAATGCACAATTATCAGACTAATAGTTTTCTGTTTATATCTACAATTATACACATTTTACTCCCAACTCTAACTCACAGCACTTCACTTCTTTTATCTGAGAGCGCTCTTCACAATGTACACTTGTGGTCTCTCTATTCGTCCATCGCTTCTCCCCCACCTCCTCCCATGCTCAGCCCCACAGTGGAAGGCGAGGTGTTTTATGAGTTCACTAGACCCAAGACAAACGATAATTGGGTGTTTTATTGGAGAAAAACTTACACAGATAATAGTAAAGAACAGCCATGGCATTCCTGATCCTGAAGATGCAGTCTCTGCCATCCTGATGGGATCCAAAAACAGAGAGAGATAGACAGAAAGAGAGATAAAGAGAGAGAGAGAGAGAGAGAGAGAGACAGAGACACAGAGAGACAGAGAGACAGAGAGAGAGAGAGCCTGCCCTCTACTTCTCTACCTTCCAGTCATGTCCACACCTGCCCATGGAGGGTGACCAGTAATACAAATTCACGGTAAGACGAGATGTTACTCTATGAATCGGTATAAATTAAATTATTATGTAAAGTATAATCAGATCAAAATCAGAATATCTGGAATAATGAAACATGAAATGGAAATCTAAAATAGAAGTAAGTTTTATAAAGCCACAGGCAGGTACTGAACCTGAGTTCCTGGTAACCGACTGTTAGTCTTCCCTTAATGGGGTAGACTTGGCTGGCCAACAAGCCCATGGTATCATCATTCTGTCTTTGCATGCCCTGTGCAAGGGCTCCAGGTGTGCTGCTGTGTCCAGTTTGCTACAAGAGTGCTGAGGCTGAGCCCATATCCCCATGGTTATATGGTGAACAATTTCCACATGGAGCATTCTCCCCAGTTCATCTTCCAGAATTCAATATTGATGTATCAGTTCTTAATTCATTGATGTAGTTAATCTCCCTTAAATTAAAATTTAACAGAAAGCAATATAAAGCAGTGGTTCTCAGCCTTCCTAATATTGTGACCCTGTAATCCAGATTCTTATGTTGTGATGACCGCCATCTATAAAGTCAGTTTTGTTGCCACGTTATAACTTTAAGTTTGCTATGATTATGAATCATGATGTAAAACTGATATACAGGGTATCTGATATATGACCCCAATAGGATCATATCATACAGGTTGAGAACCACTGATCTAAAACAACAAATTGTACCATAGAAATATGGAACTTAGAAGTATGTTTTAGGGCCTATGTTAATATATATGGTACTTTTCTATTGATCCCAAACGAGAGAGTTGAAAAATACTATACATAGGGCAGGAATGCAGCCCAATGGTAGACGGTTAGCCTAGAATATGGTTGGCCCCCAATCCAACACTAAAATAGAGATAAAAAACAACAATTGTGGCTAAAATTATATCACAATTCTGATGCTGCATGAGGCTTAGGCAGAGTTATTTTCTTGCCTGATGCATCACAAAAGAAACTTCTGAAATATGGAAGTTTGATATCTGAATCTATGATTTCTTTTTTTTTTGTTTCATTATTGAGGCTTTTTATTTGTTTGCTTGTTTTGGATCTATCCCAGGGTCTTTGATCAAAAGGCATACTTTCTTTTTTTTATTTTTCAGTTTAAATTTAGGTAAGAAACAAGGTTGCTTTACAAGTCAGTTCCAGGTGCCTCTCCCTTTCCCTCCCCTCCTCCCAAGCCCTCCCCGCAACCCCCACCTCATTATCCCCTCATTCCCCCAGGGAGGGTGAGTACCTCCATGGGGATGTCCATAGTCTGTCATTTCATATAGGGCAGGGCCTAGACCCTTCCCCAAGAGTTCAGGGTGAGAGTGCACCTCACATTGTTGGATGGGAGTCCAAAGTCCGTGTGTTTACTTGGGATGGGTACTGATCTGCTGCCCAAGGCTCAATAGATTACCTAGGCCTCCTCACTGACACTCACATTCAGGGGGTCTTGATCAGTCCCATGCTGGATTTCCAGGCTGATGCCTGGGATTCAAGAGTTAACCTTTGTCAGGTCAGCTGTTTCTGGGGGTAAAACCAGCCCAGTCTTAATCCCTTTGGTCATCAGTCCTCCCTCTCTGTTACTGGCTTTCTTGAGTTCAGCTCAGTACTTAACCAAGGGAGTCTGCCTCTTCTTCCATCAGCCACTAAATGAAGTTTCCGTTTCCCAGACTCTCAGGCCATGGGATTGTAGGCTGGCAAAGTGTTTGGAAAGGCATCTGTGTATCAGGTAAATTTTGGTTTGTCATGCAAAATAGATCTTTGCTAATTGACATTGCTGGAATATAAGTAGTCATGTGATCTTTAGCTGGCAGTGATTGGGTGTTCTGTGTATCATATTTTCAGTTGCATTTGAAGTCTGGGGCCTCACTCCATTTTGATATTACCTATTTTTTTCACAGATGGAAGCATTGTGCTGAAGGAATCACTATTTCTAACCAAGAAATGGAGTGGATGGAGGAAGTCATTCTAGAGGAACTCCAGATACTCAAGGTAATTTTATGAGTGATACAGCCCAGATTCACATACTACAGACAATCAAAGCTAGAAACAACAAGAAAAAATGTTATATTAGTTTCAGGATTTCTTTTTCCTCTTTGTGTTTGGAATCAAGATAATTTTGAAGTGAAGAATAACTTAAAACCTAGTGCTTCTCTCTCATAATCAGCATGTTCCAAAGTTCGACATGCTTGTAATAGAAGAAAATGTCAATATCGAACCATGGTCATAAAGAAATAGCACTCATATCATAGGTGAATTCCAGAACAACTTGTGAGGACTCACATCTTGCACAAACATTAGTAACTCTATCAGTAGGTGATACACTGCAAATAGTGTGCATAGTGGCAGTAGGATCACACTATGTATAACTATAATATATTAATTATATGAAGAAATTAATAAGAAAAAATAGAAAATCATATGCAAATCATAAGTTAAAACAAAGTTATGAAAATGTGTATGATTGTACATGTAGCAATAACCTAATGAGTAAATATGTACATAAGGTCTTATTAGTGAAATAGATACCACAATGTATCCTATTCCTCAGTCTTGACTCATATTTCAGCATAAGAGTGTCCTGCAAATTTCTGATCACATATTTTCATATGAACAATTCCCAGCCTTGCTTTGTGCTTGTTACTGTTTAAAGCTTCTTAGTCTCCATCGCTGATGACACATTTCTGAGCTCACTGTTATCCTTGTAATTCTTGCCTGAATGGAGCTCAAGGCTTACATAGCTCTGTACCTAGACATGCACCACAGCTATTGTGAGTTTTGGAAACCCTTCATAGCACATCAGCTCCATTGTGGATCACATGGTAAGCTCAGCTCCATGATGTGCTGGATCACATGGTAAGGTCAGCACTATCCTGGAACACATGGTCAGCTCAGAACCATCCTGGAACACACGTTAAGCACTAAAACACCATCAAAAAGCTCATCAGTATAATGAAGCAAGATGGTACTAAATAGTCCATGAAGTATACACGTACTCAGACACAGGACTTCAGGATTTGGAGAGTCACCATGCCGCCCTAGCTAGGGGTGTGTACATTCCACACTTCGGTTTCCTTGTTGCTCCCTTCCTGTGCTTTTGTGAAAAAGAAAGGCATGAACTTCAGGTGTTGATACTAGGATTACAAATCTAATTTATCAGGTAGACAGATGAGGTTGACTGACCATATATATGAATATAATGATATTCAGTGGAAAGAATAATAAATGGAGAATGAGACATTTGTCTTTTGTCCTTTTTTTTGGAAACTCATTTTTATTATATATTTAAATTAGAAACAAGCTAGCTTCCCATGTCAGACCCAGCTCCCTCTCCCTCCCCTCCATGCCCACTCTCCCCAACAGGGACCCTAGCGTCCCACCAAGTCCCCACACCATTTCCAAGGGAGGGAAAGGCCCTACATGGGGGATCTCTAGAGTTTGTCATTTTGATCCAGG